AGAAAGAAAGCATATTAAAAGAGAGGAACAACAAAAAAAATGGGGGCGTAGATCATAGCGAAAGTAAGCCAAAGCCCTCCGCTGAAGTGGAACAAGAATGGGGAAGCATCCTGCTGTGGTGTCTTTGAGAAACCTCTGACTTGCTTACCCCAGCCCCAGTCCTGTTTCTCTTTAGGCTATGTTACTCTCTAATCAGCTATAGGTACAGGTCTATGCTACACCAAGAGCCACCTGCACTGCTGCTCAGGCAGAAGGTGTGACCAGCACCCTAGGCTCCAGGTCAAGGCACCTGGAGGAGGGTGGATGGGGAGATGTTTGTGGCATGGATTGCTTATTTAGTGGATGTTGTGGCTACTTCCTCTGGGCCTTGTGAGCACACGTTTTCTCCTGGTGATCTTTTATTATATTTGGCCAGACGCACATAAATGTAAAGCCCACAGCTGCCTGTGCACTCTCAGCCAAGTGGAAGTAGTATTCTTTGTTGTTCTTGGCATAAACCTGACACTCCTTTCTTTCCTGTACAGTAATAAAAGTCAGTGCATATCTTGCAAAGTCTGTTCGCTAGAAATTGTAGCACACACTTGTTAAGCTAACACATCGTGGTAGACAGCATGGGGCTGTGGCTGGGAATCTCATGGCATTCTCTTTTCTCAGCTATCAAGTTGGACAGTGATATCTTTGGGGGATACTTTAACATTAATTGAGATAGTGTTTATGATAGTACTTTGAAACTTTCAAAGCATCAGAGAGATGTTACTTGGTACACGATGGTGCATGACGTTCGGAGACAGAGTATGTCTTGCCTGTAAAACCTTGAGCTAGTACTAGAGGAGATGGGACATATGTGGGTGTCTATGCAACATGGTTCAAAGTGATTATCTGCACATCTCTGATTTAAAGATGTGCAGAAAAGCGCTGTGGAAAGTCAGTGGGGAGGAAGCTTTGTGAAGCGGGTGATGCCTGAACAGCGCTTTGAAAGATGAGCCATTGAGGAACGTGGTGTATATGGGGCATTGACTTAACAAGCAGGTACTGGCGACAGGACCTCCGGGCAGAGGGGATCACGTCAGGCATAGATCTGAGTGCATATCAGGCCTGTACAAGCCACAGCCTTCATTGAGTTGGATTGGAGCATTGATTTGGATTTATAACCCAGACAGTGGGGAACCACTGAAAAATGTTGAGCCCCAGGAGTGGCAAGATAGAACTGAGCTCTAGGGTGAATAACCTGGCAACAATTTAAACAGGTGGAGAAGGGAGAGACTGGAAGCCCTTCTGACTCAGAGACTACGTGGAAAACACACGAAGATCTAATGTGTTTACCTCCCAATATTATCTTGACGAGTAAATGAGATAGAGGATATGGAGGTACATTTGAAAAAATGCATCCCGATGGTCCCTGTCCCAAGCTTCCTGGCCCCTTGGCAGCAGCTGATCACCCTAACCTGCTGCCTTTAGGTGCCTTTAGGCAGCCTGGGTGAAGGTGTGGGCCCAGATCCTGGCTGTACCGGTCCCCTGTACCCTCCTGCTTTGCCCCCCTCTTCACTCCTGCTCTTTTCTCCCCATTTGTTGCCTGCTTCTCCCTGCCTGGCTCCTGACGTCCTTGACTTTGTTTCCCATTTCTGGCCTGGGAATACCCGATACCTGGGGATTGGTGTGTTTCTTTTTCTAGGTCTGCCCTTGACCCTTTCCAGGAAGCTCTCCCCTTCCCAGCCACCTGGAGGAACCACCTACTTAGACCACCCCCATTCCAACAAAGCCCTGGTCCCCAGGAGCTCCTCCAGGGTGGCCTTGCAGTGGTGACTGGCTTAGAGAGGAGTGCTGAGAGAAACTGGGAGTTGGATACAGATTTAAATGAATGCTGCTACCATTCACTAGCTTGGGAAGGGGATTACTGAACTACTTGGAGCTTTGGTTTACTCCAGGGGAAAAGGAAGGTAATGATCTGTCTCTCCATTTGGTTGTGAGGCTTAAATGAGGTAATGATTTAAAGGGCTGGTTGGTGTCTAGTGAATATGAGTTGCCCACTGCCTTTTCTTCTGACTTTCCATTCCAGATGAAGACCTTTTATTAAGAGCTTCACGGCCGGGCGCGGTGGCTCACGCTGTTAATCCAGGCACTTTGGAGGCCCGGAGGCGGGCGGATACAAGGTCAGGAGATCGAGGACCATGGTGAAACCCCGTCTCTTACTAAAAATACAAAAAAACTAGCCGGGCGTCTGGTGGCGGGGCGCTGGTAGTTCCAGCTACTCGAGGCTGAGGCAGGAGAGAATGGCGTGAACCCCAGGAGGCGGAGCTTGCAGTGAGCCAGGGATCGCGCCACTGCACTCCAGCTTGGGCGGACAGAGCGAGACTCCGTCTCAAAAAAAAAAAAAAAAAAAAAAAAGCTTCACAGTTTCTGCCCTCCTCTCTCTCTTATATTTTCCTTCTTCCTCTTTTGCAAAAGCTTTTGATAAAAAGTATAGGTATGGCCAGGCACGGGGCTCACGCCTGTAATCCAGCACTTTGGGGAGGCGAGGCGGTGGATACGAGGTCAGGAGATCGGAGACCATCCTGGGCTAAATACGGTGAAACCCGTGTTCTACTGAAAATACAAAAAAGTAGCTGGGGCCTGGTGGGCCAGGCGCCTGTAGTCCCAGGCTACTCGGGAGGCTGGAGGCAGGAGAATGGTGTGAACCCGGAGGCGGAATCTCTTGCAGTGAGCCGTATCGTGCCACTGGCACTCCGAAGCCTGGGCAGAGGCGAGACTCCATCCAAAAAAAAAAAAAAAAAAAAGGGTAGTTATTTCTGCTCCAGGAGTTTCTACCGCTGCCTTGAGGGGGAGGTCCTCGAGATCCCAATATAGGACTTGAAGCACTCTTTCCTATAGAAAGAATGTTAATAAATGTTGGATACTTGCATTGTGAGGACTTTGCCTAAGGAACATTCTGGGCCAGGCAGGCTTTTGTGAAATCATAACAGCATTATTCATTTTCATGAGTAAGTACTCGGACAGATGTTCCCAAGCAAGCAGCTTATCAACAACCTTACCAGAAACCATCCGATTATAACCTGAGGACTGCCTGTCCCCTCGGGTATTTGCTGTTGCCCTCATAAGCCTTGGTAGGTGGTTGGCTTAGGAAGCGTTTCATACTGATGCAGAGCTGTGTGAGCTTAGCCCCACGTCCTGTGCTGTCTGGACTACTCATTTTTTTTTTTTTTTAATAAAATCTAAGAACTTAAGTTTAATGGGATAAGAGAGTCAGAAGGGACCTTGAGATATCTTACCTGTCTCCCACTCATATTTAAGCGATTCTTGAATGGCAGGAACTACCCCTTTATGGAACACTTGCTGATATTTGTGACTTTTCATGATGATTTCCTGCAAAGGCTTTTGCTGAGAAGTCCTTTCTTGATGTCTGTGGGTGCACAAGCGCCTGATGGGGAAGAAGTGCTCAGGGCCTTGCCACATACCACTCCTATCACAAGAATACATTCTCCTGACAACATCCCCACCACTTATGTCTTGTACCATAAGCATAAAGGCCACCCCCTTCCCAGGCAAAGATGAGTGTTGAGGCCTTTTATGTGCCAGGGATTAGGGAAGTCCAGTTCGGTATCTTTCCACTGTCCCTATCCCTGCTCCATAGGGTGGGAAGGGAGAATGGTAGGCACATCCCAGTCTTTAAGGCAATGTGAGAATCCGCTTGTTACTTCATCTAGAAAAATGTAACACTAATTCAGCAACTTCTGGGAACCAGACACCCTAGCAAGTGCTGCAGCAAGGTTTTTGGTTTTTTTTTTTTTTTTTTTTGTAGTCACCACAACAAATCTGTAATGTGGATACACTATTAATGTCATTCCTATTTTAGAGATCCCAGGCTTTGGAAAGTTAATGACTTACCAGCTGTGACTCACCCTGCTGAGAGTGGCAGAGTCAAATTTAAATATGACTCACGTCAGAGCCCAGTCACTGAGCACACTCCCAGGCTGTGTTGGATGTGGAAGAGAGTGTGCCTGTCATGGAGCCTTAGCTCTGACCCCTATGCCTGCGACACACACACCTTTGAATGTGCCAGGTGGGGACAGGGGATCAGGGCTGGGCCAGGCAAGGCTTAGCGCCAGCCCCTGTGCTACTACTGGTGGGAACGGGAGGACATGGCTCTGCCTGAGCCTTACTATCCTATTGGTCAGTTTCCCTCCATGGCCTGTGTGTGTCAGGAGCACAAAGAGTCTTCCAAATGGTAGGTTTTACAGATGTGACAGTAGCGTCTACAGAGAGATATAGTCTTCAGTTTGCAGAGGAGAAAACCAAGTCTCAGAGTCCCTTCCCAGAAGAGCGAGTGAACGGCAGAGCCCTGACAGGACCCAGGTCTTCCCATTCCCCATCTAGCGCCCATCTGCTGTTGGGAGGTTTGCGGTCTTGAGCATTTCCTTTCCTGATGTAAACCACTTGGGCTGCAGTTTAGGCCTGTTTCTTCTTTAGTGTTAGAGGAGGTAGAAAACCACTGATTTCCCATCCAGTGTTCTATTACCAAATGTTCCTTTCAGCTTTCTCTTCCTCAGGCTAATAGTTCTTTGCTTCTTTGTTCTAAAAGAACGTTTTTTTAGTCCAATTTTCTGCATTCAGGTGCCTCACTGGCCCTCCCACATAACCTTTCCTTTTTCTCAATCCTTACTCCAAACTAAACCGCCTCTCTGCACGCTTGCCTCATGCATTTTAGGTCTGGTTCTTTTCCTGCTTCCTTTTTCTTTGTATGGTAGTTCTACTTCTTTTAAGAATTTTTCCCGAACTGAGGCCAAGCTGCCATCATGACCAGTGTTGGCCAAAACCAGTCTGCGATCTTTTGTTTTGATAAGAACTTTGGGTATTTATTTTTAGTTCTGTCCTAATGTCTCCACCTCCTGCCCTGGTGCTCCCTAACTTAGACAAAACTAAAAAACTAAAAACACGTGACATGGGGACAAGGGTCCAGGTAACTGTGTCTTCATTCATTGGAAACTATCTGTTTTGCTTCTCAGGTACACAGATAAGCTGTTTCTCTCCAAGTTCTTTCTCCTGGCGTCAGGCTGCCTTTGTGGATTCATATTGCTGGGCTGCTGTTCAGCAGAAGAACTCACTGCAGAGCGATTCTGGAAACCTCCCACTGTGGCTGCATAAGGTAAAGGGAGACATTTCCAAATAGAAACCGTTTGCTTTATAGATAAGGAAACTCAGTCCCAGGGAGACTGCCAAAGACCACACTGATATTGTAGCCAACCAGGGCTGTATCTCGATGTAAAACTGTAGCACCTTATAGTCAAAAAGAACCTCTGAGATGACTTGGTGTAGGCACCGTCATTTAGCACAATGGGGCAATGGAAGTGTTCTTTGGGTTTTAGCTCTGTAACAGCAGGCACCTTCTGTGTCTTGTCACCTTTATATCATAATGCCCAGCAGGATGTCTGGCCCATAGTAGGTTCTTAGTAGATTTTGAGTGGCAGAGCTAGGATTCATGCATAGCTTCTCAGCTAGCGCCTTTTATACCACACACAGGGTCTCTTGCAGAAAGTAAGGACTGACCTAGAGTTCAATTGCTTCTAGGTGATATGTTACTGGAGCATCAAAAAGCCTAGTGATGAGGCCCTCTGGGGGTATTGGCTGTATCACTGCTTTTGGAATAGATCTGTTTGCTTTTGATAGATCCAGATACTGCAGGGAAGGGGAGATTTCTACACAAGAGACACCAATGTCTGGGTTCCACTTCCCATAGAGAAGGGCAGTCAGGCGCTCTGTCGTCAGGGAAGTGGTGGTTTGTGCTTGCAGGTGGCAGGGGATGCGGCGAGGACCTTAGGCAGCAGTTGACAAATTTGTGCAGAAGAACGTTCTCTGAGTTATGAAGTGACTGCATTAGGTCTTCTCTGTGCTTATGAAAGTAGGACTTTGTTTCAGCCTGTCATTCATTTCAACCACTGTTTCTTTTGTCCATTGTGAAAACAAATAGAATGTGTATCTTCTGGTATTCTTTTCTGCTGAAGAAAATACAGAATTTTAGCTTTCGAAAACCCAAAAGCCAAAGTTTGACTCTCTTCTGCTTTGACCTGCTGCCAGACACACCATCCGCATCCTTCTTCATAAAAGGAATGATTTAAGGGAGCTATGACTCAGGCTTGTTCTCCCTCTTGTTTGGTTACAGTTGACCCTTGAACAATGTAGGGGTCAGGGGCACTGGCTCTCTGCAAAGTCACAAATTTGTGTGTAACATTTGACTCCCCCAAAACTTAACTACTGATAGCCTACTGTTGACTGGAAGCCTTACTAATAACAGAAACAGTCAATTAATACATATTTAATATGTTATGTGTATTATATACTATATTCTTACAATAAAGTAAGCTAGAGAAAAGAAAATGTTATTAAGAATATTATAAGGAAAAGAAAATATATTTACAATTGGTGCAAAAGTAATCATGGGTTTTGCTATTAAAAGTAATTGCAAGGTGGGCGAGGTGGGCGGATCACCTGAAGTCAGGAGTTTGAGACCAGCCTGGCCAACATGGTAAAACCCCGTCTCTACTAAAAATGCAAAAATTAGATAGGCATGGCTGGGCACGGTGGCTCATGCCTGTAATCCCAGCACTTTGGGAGACTGAGGCGAGCAGATCACTGGAGGTCAGGAGTTCGAGACCAGCCTGGCCAACATGGTGAAACCCCGTCTCTACTAAAAATACAAAAATTAGCTGGGCATGGTAGCAGGCGCCTGTAATCCCAGCTACTCAGGAGGCTGAGGCAGGAGAATCGCTTGAGCCCAGGAAGTGGAAGTTGCAGTGAGCCTGCATCGCGCTGTTGAACTCCAACTTGGGCAACAAGAGTGAAACTCTCAGAAAAAAAAAAAAAAAAAAAATTAGCCAGGCATGGTGGTGCATGCCTGTAGTCCCAGTTACTCAGGAGGCTGAGGCAGGAGAATCACTTGAATGCGGGAGGTGGAGGTTGAAGAGAGAAGAGATCACACCACTATCACTCCAGCATTAGAGACAGAGTGAGACTCCAAAAAATAATAGTAATTAAATAAATATATAAAAGGAATAACAAAACCCACAATTACTTTTGCTCCAACCTAATATTTATTAAGTGGAAGTAGAACATCACAAAGGTCTTCATCCTCATTGTCTTTATGTTGAGTAGCTGAGGAGGAGGAGGAGGAGGAGGAGAGGTTGTTCATGCTGTATCAGGAGTGGTAGAGGCAGAAGAAAAGCCCCATAAAAGTGGGCCCATGTAGTTCAAATTTATGTTGTTCAAGCGTCAACTGTATTGCTTGCCATTTTGTATAGTGGTACCCTATAGTGACTCTTTTCTTCATTTAGGTCGGGCTTTTCTCTTTATTTTCAGCCGTAGGTGGGTTCTTGTCAGCTTTGCATGGTTTAGTAGCCAAGGCAACATATAATAGGACTTGCAGTGTGAATGGCCACAGTTCTAAAGTTTAACAGCTTGCTTTGTAAATCCAAATTTTTACTGTAGTTTCAGTTCGTTTGTTATAGTGTTCTCAAGAAAATGAAGAGTTTTAATGAGTCACTGGGCTGGCTTTGATGGATCCACAGGAGAATTGTCTAATGTAAGAGTTGGCAGGCGTGTTAGTAATTATTTTAGAGCAAGAATAAACTAACAGATATTTTATCCAGATGCCTTTTACATTTAAGGGTAAGGGAACTTTGAGGGATCTAGCCTAAAGGTCATAGGACTTGTTGCTGACTAACACACCAGAGCTCAGATCTTCAGACATCTAGCCCGTTGCTCTTCTAGTCAAGGAAGGGGAAATGTGGAAACAGTATGGGTAGCCAAATCTTAAGTTACCTGGTACTGATGAGAGATTAAGAAGCCCTCTTTCTGGCAGTGGAAGACTGCTTGTTTGAATGGAGGTTCATCTGAGTTTCTCAGCAGAGCTCTTGCCAGATTCACAAGGCTGGGGACCGAAATTGAAGTCAGGACCTGCCACGTTGGAAGGACCCTTATTAGCACTCCTTGGCATTTGCTTGGGACTCTGAAAGGCTGTTCTTTGAGAACAAGGGGCAATCCAGAATTAATCTAGTTCCCATAGGGACTAGAGTCCTGATTTAAATCATTGCAATAGCAGTTGAGTGACAGAGATCAGGGATTGCCAGTGTGTGGTCTACTTGCCTGCCAGAAGTAAAAATAAATCGTTTCTGGAGGATTTTCTGGGTGTACTTATCATCCATCTTTTTTTTTTCTTTTTTTAAATTGTTTTTCTCTTCTATTTTTTTGAGACAGGGTCTCACTTTGTCACCCAGGCCGGAGTGCAGTGGCACAAACATGGCTCACTGCAGCCTCAACCTCCTAGTTGTAAGGCGATTCTTCTGCCGCAGCCCCCCAAGTAGCTGGGACTACAAGCATGCACCACCACACCTGGCTAATTTTTGTGTTTTTTGTAGAAATGGTCTCAAACTCCTGAGCTCAAGAGATCCACTCATCTTGGTCTTCCAGAGTGTTGGGATTACAGGCGTGAGCCACCACACCTGGCTTATTGTTATTTTTAATTTTTATGGTTACATAATAGTTGTATATATTTGTGGAATGCATGTGATATTTTGATATAAGCGTACAATGTATAATGAGCAAATCGGGGTAATTGGGATACTCATCACCTTAAACATTTATCATTTCTTTATGTTAGCAACATTCTGATTCCATTCATATAGTTCTTTTGAAATATACAGTAAATTATGAACTATAGTCAGCTTGCTATCTAAACCTAGATCTTATTCCTTTTATCTAACTGTATACTTACACCCATTAACCATTCTCCCTTTCCACTATGCTTCCCAGCCTCTGGTAACCTTCACTCTATTCTTTATGAGATCAGTTTTTTAAGCTCTCACGTAAGTGTGAACGTGGAGTACTTATCTGTGCCTGGCTTATTTCGCTTAACATGACATTGTCCAGATCCATTCATGTTGCTGAATTTAACAGGATATCATGTTTTTTTGATAGCTAAATAATATTCCATTGTGTATATGTACCACATTTTCTTCATTCATTGGATGATGGACACTTAGGTCAATTTCCGTGTCTTTGCTATTGCGAATAGCTCTGCAATAAACATGGGGGTGCAAATAACTTTGATATTCTATTTCCTTTCTTTTGGATGTATACCCAGCAGTGGGATTACTGTATCGTATAGTAGCTCTGTTTTTAGTTTTTTGAGGACCTCCATACTTTTTCCGTAGTGGCTATACTAGTTTACATTCCTACCAAGAGTATAGAATGTCCCCCTTTCTACACATCCTCACCAGCATTCATTGTTTTTTGTCTTTTCGATAAAAGCCATTTTACCTGGAGTGAGGTGATATCTCATTGTGATTTTGATTTGCATTTCCCCTGATCAATGATGTTGACCATTTTTTTCATATACCTGTTTGCCATTTGAATTTCATCTTCTGAAAAATGTCTATTCAGAGTTTTTGCCCATTTTTAAGGTTTTTCTTTTTTTGATACTGAGTTGTTTGAGTTTCTTATATATTCTGGTTATTAATCCCTTGTCAAATGGATAGTTGGCAAATATTTTCTCCCATTCTGTGGATTGTCTCATCATGTTAATTGTTTCCTGTGCTGCACAGAAGCTTTTTAGCTTGAAGTGATCCTTCTTGTCCATTTTTGCTGTGGTTGCTTGTGTTCCTGAGGTCTAACACAAGAAATTGCTTATCCATACTCACGTCCTGGAGTGTTTCTCCAGTGTTTTCTTCTAGTAGTTTCATGGTTTTAAGTCTTATATTTAAGTCTTTAATCTATTTTGGTTAGATTTTTGTATATGATGAGAAATAGGGATCTGAGTTCAGTCTTTTGCATATGGATACTCAGTTTTCCTAGCACCATTTATTGAAGAGACGGTCATTTCTGTATTGTATCTTTTTGGCACCTTTGTTAAAATGAATTGACTATAAATGAGTAGATTTATATCTGGGTTCTCTATTCTATTTCCTTGGTCTGTGTGTCTGTTTTTATGCCACTGCTGTGCTATTTTGGTTGCTATGGCTTTGTGGTAAAACTTGATATTGTGATGCCCCAGCCTTGTTCTTTTTGCTCAGAATTGCTCAGACTACTGTGGGTCTTTTGTATTTCCATATACATTTTAGGATTGTTTTTTCTATGAAGAATGTCATTGATATC